GAAACATTCTGGCTGGAAAAAGCAAAACAAAACCAGAATACGAGTGGTAGCGAAAGATCATTGGGCGAAATCAAAAAACCAGGCAGAACAACCTGTCTTGGACATTTGATGATTTTTGTTTTTTCTTCGCCAAAATTATCACAGACAATTATCATCTACGAAACGAATCATACAATTGAAGACAGCCAAAAAAAACAATAAGATAGAAAAACAACAAAAAATCTCACAGAACAATTAGTTTGGACGGAAAAAAACGAACGGGAAAAAAAATTATGAGAATTAGCATCAAGCCAGTAAGTAGAAAAAAACAAAGACAATAAAAACCAGAAAATATTATGGATAAGATTCCTGAATATATTTATCATATCATTTTTGATGGCAGAAACAAAATAACAAAAACAAAACACATCATCAACGTGGATATCTAATCTTTGACAATGTGGATATAGCGAAATAAACGATGATAAACAGAATAATAATAATAATAGAAAGACCAATGACTTTACCAATGATGATGATGATTTGATTGACATGGAAAATTATTATTAGAATCCAGAAAAATTCATTCAGGAAATTTTTCGACAATTTAATTTCACGAAAACTTTTTCAAAAAATTTAAATTATTAGGCATCCTGAACAAATCAAATCAAAAAATTGTTCCATAACATATGGGAAACATTCAATTATGTTCATCATCATCATTATTTTGTCAATTTAGTTTTTTTTGAAGAGAGATGAAATGCCGAATTGAATGAAATGAAATTTTCCTTTTTTAAAGTTTTCAAAAATTGAAATGAATTGATATCTGGTTTGCAACAAACACACGCAAACACGAATGTTTTTTTTGATAATTTATCTTGTTTTATATTTTCAAAAAGAAACCGGATTTATTTATTTATAAAATATCCATTTATAATTTAAATTATTGAATTGATTAGATTTGTAAAGTTTAAAATTGAAATTTAATTTTTTTTTTAAATAAAATTTCAATTTTCGGTGAGAGAAAGATAGGAAATTCGAGCAAACAAACAAATAGAAATCGAACGTTTCCGACTATCGAACTATCGAATCGAATCGATCGATACTTTCGAACGTTTTTTCGAGAGGAAAAAAATAAGGAAATGAAATGAATCAGAATACATACCTTGGTAGAATCCAAAATGATGATATTCAAAACACAAAAAGATGTTTTTATTAAAATGCAAACAAAAAAAAACTGTAATCACAAAAACTTATTGATGTTCAATACTATCGATGTCACAAATATGAATGAATGATAATGATTTACATAATCATCATTGAAATCAAATCACATCACAGCAAAAGATTTGAAAAATCACTGAAGAGATATATAATTTTGTCAACAAAATTGAGTTTGAAAGAAAAAAAATTTATCAACCAAAAGCGTCATTGAACCGCGAAGATATTTGATATTCACAACAATCAAAACAGAAAAAAATGTCACATATCAATCGATGATGATCAATCATGAAAAAAATATGATGGCAAACGAATAAAGCAAAATATTCAAGTCATCATCATCATTACATAATAATGATGATATCCAACATCAAATATTGATGAAATATGCTTGGAGAGAAAAAAAAACAAACAAAAATTATATGGATTGAATCGATTTGTGATGTGAAAATTGACAAAACAAACAAACAAAACAAAAAAATATTTGATTGACAAATCGAAAAGATTCGAAAATTGCAATACCGTCGTTGTTGTTCTGATTTTTTTATATCGATACTATCGATTATTACAATTTCGATTGTGTTCGATTTGCAAATATTTCACCGAAATAACAACAATTTTTTTTTCTAATTTTAAATTCATTTCAAATCAGATAAAAAATTATGAAAGATTTTATTGATGATGATAAAATGAAGAAACAAAATTCACAACAATACAATTTGGCTGCAAATTTCAAATCAACGATAACAACAACAACGACGAGTCGAAATTATATGCATATTAAAAAGCCGAAAACAAAACAAAATGAAACCTGGACATTTGATTTGTGTGTTTGATGATGGTTGATTTTCGATGACCAAGATGATGCTGATGATGACGACGATGATAAGAACATCACCAAGAAAAAAAAGATTTAAAGATTTCAATTGGGTAACGAAAAAGATGTTTTTTTTTCTTATTCTCTTTCCATCTCCATCATTCACTCACTAACTTTAACTTTTTTTGACGATGCCGAAATAGCCAAATGAAACAACATTTAATAATAACAACACAACAAGAAAAGATTGTGTTTTAACAAATCAAATCGAAATGAAATGAAATAAGAAAAAATCTTGTTTTACTTCAACCGATATGTATGCAACAAGTTTTTGTCGATGTTGATGATGATATATGATATGATATGAAATGAAATGATAAAAAACATTTGAACATCGACAATACCGAACCGAACCAACCACGATCGAACAAATCAGTGATTCGTGAAACTAAAATAATATTACCCGTAGTTGTTGTCTTCGTCGTCGTCAGCTAAAGATGTTGAACATTCGAAAAAAAAACACCGACAGCCCAATTGATATTTTTCGCGTTTTTCCCCCTTATTCATTTTATGGAGAATTTTTTCTCCCCCCGTCGACAACCATAACAACAAGAATACAACAAACAAGTCCAGTGTCTGTGTGTAGACCTCATGGACATCGTCATTGAATACCACCACCACCACCACTTGTTATTCATTCAACATGATGATGGCAACAAACGAAAAACAAGATTCGCCATCCATGTAATCTCATGAGCATCATCTCAGGTAAGCAAAAAAAATGAGAACAAAATGAATGAATGTTTAACAACACATGAAAAACAGGTATTCAGTAAAAAAAAATACAATCAATTTTTTTTTCCTTTGAAAACACAGACATTGAGAGAGAAAACAAGAATTGGCCAATTCATTCATTGAATGAATGAATGAATGAATGATAATAGAAGAAAAATGTTCAGGAAACAATTGAAAGAACCTGTCCATTGACCATCACCATCCAGCAAACGTATGTCCTGCTTGTTCATTTTGATTCGGCTTTTGATTCGTCTGAAGGCTTTTTTTTGTGTGTGTTAAAATTATTATTGTTGAATCACTTTGTTCTTGTGTTGTGTGTCTGATGTTATTTTTTTCCCATTCATTTTATTTTGATCATTGAATTTTCTTTTTTCTTTTTTTTAGCTGAAAAGATTACACGATTCATCGAAAAAGAACAAGAAGAAAAAAAAATCGAATCGTGTAAATTGAATTGAATCGATTTTTTTGTTCTTCGCTTTTTCTCTCTATCTTTTTTCTTTCAAAATCAAAATCAAATGAATTTTATTAGAAGAAAGGGGTGGATGATGATGATGAAGATTCATATCTGATGAGATGATTTATACAAAAAAAAATTGGATTTTAAGTTTTCTCTCACCGTGGATAGTAAACAGAGATTCACTGTAGAAAAAGTACAAGTTTTTCGTATGGAGTTTTCGAATTTCGAATTCTGTTCGAATTTTTTTTATTCGATTACAAACAATATAAAATCAGGCCTGTTTTTTGCTTTCGAATTCAATCAAAGTAAACTTTATTGATTGATTAAATCGTTGACGTGTATTATTCAACGTGTTCCAGAAGCAGTTTTACGCTTTTGTAAAAACTATTGAACCAAAGGGGAAGTGTTGAACTAAATCGTTGTTGGGCACTATTTGCCATAATCTTCATCCCATTCATCATCATGGTGAAAACCAAGTGAGCTTCTTGGAAATTGAAAAGTTTAAAACTGAAGAATTCCTTTTTCCAAAGTTACCACCAAAAAGTTCGAGGTATTGAACGCTAAACGGTTTTGGAACCTTATATATGGAGCACAATAAATGTTTGTTACTCCATTCGTAGCTTCGCGATAGATATAATCGTGAAGTTACGAAAGTACTTTTTTCTGCTGTCAAATGTACCTGAAAACATTAGCAGGATGGTATGGCAAAAATAAATGGCGACACGGAGGAATTACGAGGTGTTTTTGTGCGATGGCAATGGTAAACGACTTCAGGGTAATATATTTGAAATATTTTCTGTTTTTTTTTCTACTCACTTTGTATTTTTTTACAATTACAGAAAGCCTTTTTTCCACTTAATTGTACTATTTTCTATTCCAGGAAGTGGTCCTGAAAAAGAAAGACGGAATGTGTTCATTCACAGTGAAGATCGTACGAGGAAAGGACGAGTAAAATAATGGAGAGAAAAGAATCAGGAAGCAACAAAAAGGAAAATTAATCATGAAAATACAGATTGCGGATTTGCTAATAGCAGAATTTCTGATAACATAAGTGAGATGGAATTGTGATGACGATACCTCATGACGACAATGATTTTTATAAAATTAACTCACTAATAGTGAAAATGGCAAAAAAAAAGAAAAAAGGCTTGATGCATCAATAAAAAAATTAAACCATCCTCATGGAATAAAATAATTTCAATTTCACCATTGTTTTTTTTTTTGCAAACTTTTCGAACGAATAAAAAAATTGTCTGTTTTAATACGTTTCAAGTTTTTTTTTCGCTTTGCTTTTTTTTGTTTTGTCGAGCCGAACACTAGCATGTATAAACTTGGCATCGAATAATTTGTCCTTTACCGAACATTCTTTCATGCTCAACACATCAGAATTCTTTAACTTTGGAATTTCGTTTTTCTGTTTGATTGATTGATTTCTAGAAAAAAACCAAAGATATTTCGATAAAAAAAATGACTTATTGGCGTAATATTGGTATTACTTATTTGCAATTTTCAAAAATTGCAGCCAGACAAATTCGACAATCATTAAAAATTGATCGAAGACCGGATCCAATTCGTGAAACAAGTACGGTTAAATTGAATAAACTAAAACCAACCGATGGTGTTTAAAAAGATGGCTAAGACCAGCATTTCAATCTTTCAAAAAAACCAAAAAATGAGTCAATTTAATATAATTTTAGTCATTGAAATTTCGATTTTATTTCATTCTTTTTTCATTCATTTTTTAGATTGAAATAAATAAAAATAAATGTTTTTGTTTAAAATTTAAATTCAATTTGATTTTGTTCATAATATGATTGTAACCAATCACCAATAATCTGTAATTCTTGTTCACGTGCTTCTAATAAAATTTTCGGATCATTTGGTCCTTGTGAACGAAGATCTTCATGATGACAAGCACCCGGTATTTTTATTGCAATCAATGTATCGGAAAGTGTTTCAAGTACACCACCAGCACTCCATGGATCTCTTAAACCATTACTGAATATAATATTTGTTGCTGTATGACTAATATGTTTACCACCAAACATTATTAATGCTTTATATCGATCTGAATTGATACCATATTTTTGTCGACAACCGGCAGAAAATTCATCAAATGTCCATTTTTCTGGTTCAAACATATCATCAACACCGTTTGAACATTCGGGTAAAACCATTTCGGTACATGCTTGAAAATCCCATGCATTTGTACCTAAACGATCATTTGATTCATTAATTTTATTACATTCAGTATCACCTGTATAATTTGTATATACGGATATAGCTTTTGCAATTGATTGTATTAATTGTTTATCATTTGAATCTGGTTCGGTTAAATATTGACAAACAACTTTGATTGGATAAGCTGGTAATTTTGAAAGAAAATCAGCTGGATTTGGATAATCAATCATCGGTAATGTTCCCCAAATATTAGCTATCCAATCAATCAATGTTTGTACTTGTTGTTCAGGAAATTCTTCACATAATTGAAATTGTTCGGAAAGAAATTTTCGTCCATCATTTGTTTTAGCTAAACGACGTATTGCTGACCATGATCTTCTTATTGATTCGGAACATTTTGGTGAATAATTTGTAAAATCTTTTGTTGCAATACGATTATAACCTTCACAATCATAAATATCGGGAAATTGTAGAATTGGTGCCGATGCAGCTAATGCACCGACACAAAGATGTGGATATTTTATACGAAACCATGCTGCAAGCATACCACCATAACTACCACCCATTATAACAACTGGACTTGATCGTGCACCATTAATAGTCATATGAATATCAACAATAAAATCAGCATAATCAGCTAATGCTTGTTCAACAGTTAAATAACCGGCCATTGATAAATTTTGCATTGATTTTTTACCATATGGCATTGATTCACCATAATAACGATGTTCCATAAATATAATCATTGCATTGAATTTTTTTGCATTATCCCACATAAAACCAGTATTATTAGCAAATGTAAATATATCACCTTCATTACCGGCATAAAACCAAATTGGACCATTTGGCGATTTCCAATGTTCCGTAGAGATTATATAACGTTGTTCAAATGTATCATTATTTGAATAACTAAAATGATCAACCTTTTTATTGGGTTGTTTGAAAAAAAAATTAATTAATTTTCTTTTTTTTTGCAGAAATTCTTATCAAAATCTTACTTTTTGTTGAAAATATTTTACTTGAAAATTGCTATATTTCAACGACAATGGTTGTGCCAATGAAAGATGATGTTGGTGGTGATGATTTTGAATTTTCAATCCATCAATCAATATGAAAAAGATTGATAAATTGATTAAAATTACTAAGGAAATTTTCATTATGATCAATCCAAACAAACAATCAAACCAGGTAAGCCAAACCAGAAAATGAAATGAATAATGCCAACACACCAACAATCGAAAGTCGATCAAATTCAATCGATTAAACTTAAGCTAAGCAGCAAATTGATGTCAAAAAGTTTGTTGTTGTTGTCAATTTTAATTAAATCATCATCATCATCATATCTAATCAGAGCGATTGAAAATCGAAAAAATCCTTATCATTGAAATAAAATCGAACGCATTTTTCTAATTAAAAAAATGATAATAAAAAACATCAACAAATCGAACGATTTATCATTTACGACCTTTGTTTCCATGTTGATGATGATGATGATGGATAATTGAGTAAACTTTGCAAAATTCTTCTTCTTCTTCGTTGTTTGTTTTTTTTATCATTATAATTTGCGGTCATGATTATTGATTTATCCTTTTTTCTTTTGTTTGTTTTTGTGAAAAAAAGGGAAAAAAAGTGTGAAAATCAGTTTTGGAATTGACAAAAATCTTGGAAAAAGAAGTTTGATTGAGCAAAGATTGAACAAATGGAAAAAAATTTATTGAAATTTTCAGAAAACTGAATTGATTGACAGACAAAATTGGGAAAAACAAATTTTTTTTATGGTTTAAAATTCAAAATCAATGTTTTTCTTTTCATAATATGTTTCTAGCCAACCACGAATAATCTGTAATTCTTGTTCACGTGCATCTAATACTGTTTTCGTATCATTTAATGTTTCTGAAAGAAGATCTTCACAATGACAAGCACCAGGTATTTTGATTGCAATCAATGTATCGGATAATGATTCAAGTACACTACCAGCACTCCATGGATCTTTTAAACCATTACTGAATATAATATTTGTTGCTTTATGACGAATATTTTTACCACCATATTTTTTTAATAGTTTATATGGATCTGGATTGATACCATATTTTTTTTGACAATAATTTGAAAATTTTTCTATTGTCCATTCATTTAATTCAAACATATCATCCACACCATCTGAACATAATGGTAAAGGAATTTCTGTACATGTTTGAATATCCCATGGATCTATTTTGAAATGTTTATTATTATTATTTTCATCTAATTGTTTACATTGTTTATTTTCTTCATTATAAACTGATAATGCTTTAGCAATCGATTTTATTAATTTTCCATCATTTGAAATTGGTTCGGTTAAATATTTACAAACTTTTTTGATTGGATATGATGATCTTGAATTATCCTTCAATGGTAATACTGCCCATACAAATGCTATATAATGAATTAATGATTCTAATTGTTCAGGTGATAATATTTTACATAAATTAAATTGTTTAGTAAGAAATTCTCGTCCAACTTTCGTTTCGGCTAAACGACGTATTGCTGGCCATGATTGTTTTATTGATTTTGAACAACTTTTTGAATAATTTGAATAATTTTCCGTAACAATACGATAATAATTTTCACAATCATAAATATTTGGATAATGTAGAAATGGTGCCGATGAAGCTAATGCACCGACAGAAAGATGCGGATATTTTATACGAAACCATGCTGCAAGCATACCACCATAACTACCACCAATTATAATAACTGGACTTAATTGTGCACCATCAATAGTCATACGAATGTGATCAATAAAACTAGCATAATCAGCTAATATTTGTCCAACATTTAAATAACGATAATTTGATAATCTTCTGGTTGTATAATTTCCAAATGGCATTGATTTACCATAATAACGATGTTCTAAAAATAAAACCATTGCTTGAAATTGTTCAGCATTATCCCAAATAAGACCAACTTTTTCAACCGAATCATATGAATCAGCTTCATTACCAGTCCATAACCAAATTGGACCATTTGGTGATTTCCAATATTCAGTTGATATTAGATAACGTTGTTGAAATTTATATCTTCTACTAAAATGATCAATCTTTTTAATAATAAAAAAAATATTAATTAAAATTTGATTTTTTTGGTTGTAAAAAATGCTTACATATTGTGAAAAATATTTTTCATCCAAGTTTTTAACTTGTCCTTTCAATGATGGAGTTGATGATGGAAAAGATTTAGATAATCCATCATGATGACGGTTAATATTTAGAAGATCAGAAGTTTTCAATGTATCGATTATGTTGAAAATGTTTATTAAATTGATCAAAATTAACGATTGATAAACGAAGGGAATTTTCATATTGATTGAATTCGATAAAACAAACCAAAACAAAATCAAAATGATGCCAACAATGTAATCTCGTTAAATCCGAATCTAAATCAATCAATTGAGTCAAAATCTTTAACATTTTCCAAACAAAATGGATTTTATTAAACAAAATGTCAAATGCCATAAACAATTGATAAATTTCAAATAGGAAAAACAAATTATCCTTTTTTTTGGATTTAAAATTTAAAATCAATTTTTTTCTTTTCATAATATGTTTCAAACCAACCACGAATAATCTGTAATTCTTGTTCACGCGCATCTAATACTGTTTTCGTATCATTTGTCGTTTCTGTAAGAAGATCTTCACAATGACAGGCGCCAGGTATTTTTATGGCAATCAATGAATCGGATAATGATTCAAGTACACTACCACCACTCCATGGATCTTTTAAACCATTACTGAATATAATATTTGTTGCTGTATGTTGAATATTTTTACCACCAAATATTCTTAATGGTTTATGTGGATCTGGATTGATACCATATTTTTTATGACAATCATTTGAAAATTGTTCCATTTTCCATTCACTTAATTCAAACATATCATTCACACCATCTGAACATAAGGGTAAAGCCAATTCGGTACATGTTTGAAAATCCCATGAATCTTTTTGTATATACATATCACCATATCCACTTAATTGTTTACATTGTTTATTTTTTTTAAATACTGAATAGGCTTTACCAATCGCTGTTATTAATTGTTCATCATTTGAATCTGGTTCGTTTAAATATTGACAAGCATTTTTAATTGGATATGATGATTTTGGATTATCCATCATTGGTAATACTGCCCATATATATGATATATAATGAATTAATGATTCTAATTGTGAAGGATTAAATTTTTCACATAAATTAAATTTTTTAGTAAGTAATGTTCGTCCATTATTTGTTTTGGCTAAACGACGTATTGCTGGCCATGATCGTCGTATTGATTCTGAACAATTTGTTGAATAATTTGAAAAAGTTTCAGTAGCAATACGATAATAATTTTTACAATCATAAATATTTGGATAATGTAGAAATGGTGCTGATGAAGCTAATGCACCAACACAAAGATGTGGATATTTTATACGAAACCATGCTGCAAGCATACCACCATAACTACCACCAATTATAACAACCGGACTTGATCGAGCACCTTTCATTGTTGAACGTATATGTACAATAAAACTAGCATAATCATCTAATGCTTGTTCAACAGTTAAATAACCATAATTTGATAATTTTTTGAATGAATTTTTTCCATATGGTATTGATTTACCATAATAACGATGTTCCATAAATAAAATCATTGCTTGAAATTTTTCAGCATTATCCCAAATAAAGCCAACTTTTTTAGCCGAATCATAAACATCACCTTCATTACCAGCCCAAAACCAAATTGGACCATTTGGTGATTTCCAATGTTCAGTTGATATTAGATAACGTTGTTTAAATGTATTACGATTGGTAAAACTAAAATGGTCAACCTTTTTTTAAAGAAAAGAAAATTATTAAAAAATATCGATTTTCTTTATAAAAAAAATTAAAAATTCTTACATATTGTGAATAATATTTTTCATGTAAATTTCTAACTTTTCCTTTCAATAATGGAGTTGATGATGATAAAGATTTGTATAATCCTTGATGATGGCGGTTAATATTAAAAAGATTTAAAATTTCCAATGTATCGATTATGTCGAAAATGATTATTAAATTGATCAAAATTAACGATTGATAAACGAATGAAATTTTCATTTTGATTGAAACAAACAAAGAATTTCCAAAACACACATAAACCACATAAATCAAATCAAAATACAAATATAATGATCAAATCAATTGAACAAAACAAAAACAAAAATCTTTAACATTTTCCAGGAAAAAACATTAAAAATTTAAAAAATAAATTCCAAATGTCACAGTGTAAATGATGATTATTTTATTGATCTTTGATCATAATTATATATTCAAATCAATAATTTTTGATGAATTTTTTTTTTTGTATTAAAATTTAAATTCAATTTGATTTTGTTTATAATATGTTTCAAACCAACCACGAATAATCTGTAATTCTTGTTCACGTGCATCTATTACTGCTTTCGTATCATTTGGCCCTCCTTTTCGAAGATCTGTACAATGACAGGAGCCAGATATTTTTATGGCAATCAATGTATCGGAAAGTGATTCAAGTATACCAATACCACTCCATGGATCTTTTGAACCATTACTGAATATAATATTCGTTGCTGTATGTCGGAAATCTTCTTTATCACCGAATATTTTTTTCAAATTATATGCAGCCATCTTTGCATTGTTTCGTTCAGATTTTGAATCAAATGGTTCGAACATATCATCTTTACCGTTTGAACATATTGGCATGACAAGTTCGGAATTTGATTGAAATTCCCATGCATCTCTTGCTAAATTATCATTATCTATATCATTAATGATGTTATTACATTTAGTTTTACCTGTATAAACTGTTAAAGCTTTGGCTATTGATATTATCAATTGTTTATCATTCGTCTTTGTTTCATTTAAATATTGACAAATAATTTTGATTGGATAAGCGTTGGAATTCTTACGTCTCGGATTTGGATAATCACTCATTGGTAATGATCCCCATATTAAGGATAACCAATTACTAAATAAATTTAATTGTATTCTTCTCAATCCACGACATAAATTAAATTGTTTGCTAAGAAAATTTCGTCCAGAAATTGTTCCACCTAAACGACGTATTGCCGACCATGATTGTTTTATTGATTTGGAACAATTTGTTGAATAATCAGTATAAACTTGTGTAGCAATACGATAAAAACTTTCACAATCATAGTTATCATCATATAATTGTAACGGTGCCGATGATGCTAATGCCCCGACACAAAGATGTGGATATTTCATACGAAACCATGCTGCAAGCATACCACCATAACTACCACCCATTACAACAACTGGACTTAATTGTGCACCATCAATAGTCATACGAATATGATCAATAATAGTTGCAAAATCAGCTAATGCTTGAAGAACGGTCAAATAATTGAATTGATCTCTATTACTTTTTGCTTTTGGTATTGATTTACCATAATAACGATGTTCAGCAAATAAAATCATTGCTTGAAATTTTTTCTCATTATCCCACATAAAACCAGTACTATTGATAAATGAATAAATATCACCTTCACAACCACAATAAAACCAAATTGGACCATTTGGTGATTTCCAATGTTTAGTTGATATTATATAACGTTGTTTAAATGTATTACGATTTGTATAACTAAAATGATCAACCTATTTTTATTTAAAAAAATAATCATAAAAATATCAAATTTTTTTTTCGTTGCACAAAAATTCTTACATTTTGTATAAAATGTTTTTCCTGATAATTTTGATTTTTCTCTGTTGAAGATAATGCTAATGATTTGGACAATTCATGATGATGAAAAAGATTAAAAAATTTTAAAGCATCGATAATGGAGAAAACGATTGTTATATCGATCAAAATTAACGATTGATAAACGAATGAAATTTTCATATTGATCAATTGGATAAACAAGCCAAAACAAAATCAAAATGATGCCAACATGTAATCTAAATCAATCAATTGAACCAGAATCTTTAACATTTCTTCAATCAAACAAAATTTATTTTGTTTTTGTTTTTGTTTGTAAGAAAATGTCAAATGCCATAAATTTCTAGATGAAATTTTCAATGAAAATCAACGATTATTATCGTATGATCGTGTCATGCAACCAAATAAATTAATTTCTCGTTTTTTTTATTGAGCAAAAACAAATGTAAAAGAAAAAGTTTTATTCAGAAAAAAAAACGAACTGACTGATTGACAAATGAAGAGATTAAATTAAAAAAAAAATCTGAATCCTGGTGTATGGCGCCAAAATCTGATAAATTAAAAACCAAGAGCGAGAGAAAAAAGTGAGAAAATAAAACTTGTTACAGAATTCAGAAAATTCTCTGGTAAATAGTGGAAAGATTTTTGTTAATAAATTGTTTGTTTGTTTGTTTGTTTATATCACAGACAATTGTTATTTTCATCAAAAATTTAAATTTAAGAACAAAAAAAAAAAATAAAATGAAGAAAAATTCAATGATTATGGAAACATTAATGAATGAATGAATGATGATGATTATGAAAGTGGTTGTATGGTAATAATACTGTTGTTGATCAATAGATATTATGCATGAGAACAAAAACAAGGGAAATTCTTTCATCATCATTTTCATTGATATTTTTTTTTATCGACCATAACCAAATCGTTGACTACCCGAACGAAATCCCGATAATGTTCGTTGTTGTTGCTGTTGTTGTTGTTGATATCGCATTGTTGTTGCACTATTTTGTCGTTTATAATTATAATAATTCGGTTCTAATCAAAAACAAAACAAAAAAATTCAATGATTTTTTTTTTGAAAAAATGAAAAATTATCTGTAATACTAACTTGCTGCGGCGGCGGCGGCAGCGACTGCTGCTGATGATGACGACGATGATGATGATGATGGATGATGTTGTGTTTGATCCAATGCAATGGGTAAACGACCAAAAACTTTTTTACACATAAAATCTAAAAATCTTTTTGCATAAAAATCTGGTTTTGTAACCGAAATTGTTCTCTGTTTTTTTTTTTTTTTTTTTTTTTTTTGAAAAAAAAAAAAAAAAAA